ACGGAAAGGTTGGCAGTTTGAATCCAGGGAGAGGAGTGAGCTCCTGCTGTTAGGCCCAGCTTCTGCCAACCTAACAGTTCGAAAACATGGAAATGTGAGTAGATCAATAGGTACTGCTTCTGCAGGAAGATAACGGTGCTCCATTCAGTCATGTTGGCCACATGACCTTGAAGGTGTCTATGGACAACACCGGCTCTTCAGCTTAGAAATGGAGATGAGCACCAATTCCCAGAATTGAACATGACTAGACTTAATGTCACGGGAAACCTTTACCTTACCTTACACAAAATAAATTCTGGAGTTGCACCTACTGGCTAGCAAGGAGGGACACATCCAGCACTCAATTTCCACTCTTTTAAAAGCTTGAACTTTGTGCTCACTTCTGGGAACAAAATTGCTTCAGAACAAAGGAAGGGACTGTCCCTCTTAAGCAGAAACTGTTTGGAATGCATTGCCAAGCCGTTTACCGTTCACACTAGAAGACCATTTGGAATTGTGCTCTATCCTAAGCAGATAGTACATTGTTCTGGTTTATAGATTCTATCAGAATACTGTTTTGTTTTCAGAACAAAAGAATTAAAGAATCCAAGGAGAAAAGGCAGGTCAGAAACAGCCTGTTCCTTGGAGATACCCATGCAAGAATTGGCCTCATTCTCAAACAGATAGAGTCAACAAAGCTGGACTTTGTTATGGCATGCTCTGTGCAGTCACAACCCAGACAGGCAAAATGCACTTTACAATTGGGATTCATGCAGGAGGCATGTGCTCCTTACAGACGACATTCAAGACTGTGACCTATAGTCATGACCCTGAAACACGATACACAGTATGGTATATGGATCAAAGCATGAAATAAATCCAACTGGACTTCCTTCATTAGAAAAAAGTGTAGCAACTAACAGTCACTTTCAGGAACAGATTTGGAAATGACTAGACATAGTTAAGAAAACATAATGAATTCTAGTCTGCTTCACAGCTTTGAGAGGGCCTCTGTTAGGAGGGATGTGTGACAATTCAGTAAAACCCCCATTTATTTTATGGGCTTGACTATGGATATGACTTTCAACTAAATATGGAAGAATTCAAAGACAAAGTAGAGTTGGTTTGGATCAGTATGCAAAGGGATCTTGTAGCTCTTTTGAGACCTTACAACCTCTGAGGATGCCTGCCATAGATGTGGGTAAAATGTCAGGAGAGAATGCTTCTGGAACATGGCCATACAGCCCAGAAAATTTACAGCAACCCACTTTTGAGATCCATTTGTAGCTACATGTGGGGATACTATTAACTCCCAGCTATAAACTTCCTCTTCCTTAAAAGAACATATTATAAACAGCACCTCCCTAGAGCACTGACAATATCTGAACAATTAAATGCACCAAAGTCAATTTATATGCATAACCTATTTTAAATTAATGTAGTCAAACATAAATAGCAATCTTGAACAGCATTGTAATAAAAAGCAGGCTAGATCAAAATATTTAAATAGGTTATAATATGTACAGACAGAAAAACAAATAACTCATGTAAATACCAATTACTCCAGCCATCTTAAATCAAGTATTGATTCCAATATAACACCTTGCAGAAATATTCACTCCCCCTTCTACTTTTCTAAACTTGGTTGTTTTATGATATGTCACTGAAATTGATTTAATTAGCATTGTTGTTACCAGGTCCTCAACACTGTTAAGGAGAAACATATTTCTGTTTAGGCACAAAAGTTAAGTAAATCAATAAACAACTATGCTTGTGAATTGTACACATATTCACCCTCCAGGACAAATACTTTATTGAGACACCTTTGGCAGCAATTTTGAATGCCCCTTTGGGAGCAGCTTTCATGGGTCTTCCACAAACATATACTTAGTTCTTGACTTAAATAGTGTAATAACATTATCTGAGCTATTGCACACAGAGGGACTTTGAAGATCATACGTGAGAATAAACAATTAAGGTATGTAGTATATGATAATGCTTTCACAATGAAGATTGCTTCTTCATATAAAACAAGCTACAAAGTAAAATTCATGAGGAAAAGGGTGGTGTAGATATGCTCTGTAGTTTATTGGCACCTCCTCAAGTCGCCTGTTGTCCTCAGAAAACCATTCTGGCAACACTTTTATCAAAGCCCCAGGTAATATGAGGACAGGAGTTAAGCACTGGGCCAAGGCATTATCATATTTGTTTTGATATCATACTCAGACTGGGAAGCTGTAAATTAATAGCCCTAATTGGACTTTGAGGATAATTTTTCTGATGTGTCCCAATTTTATAGTTGACAGGGTAGGAGGTCATTGTTGTGCTTACTTCAGGATTAAAGGTTATATTGAAACCATAGACTAAAAGCTTAAGAGAACTTTCTAGCATATGCAACAGTGGAGGTATTACACAGCCCAAAAATGTTTTTGAATTCTTAATTTTTTAGCCTATTTCTGGGGTTATTTGGTGTGCCGATTCTGGAAACTGCATTGAATCAACTGTATCGGCTTTAGTTTCTTAATCATGTTTATCATTATTTTCTATGGGCAACCAGTATATGGCATATGTTCTGTATCCCAAAAATTAGACGATGGGGGAAACTGCCACCATTTTTGGAATCAGCAGGTCAAATATACCCAGAAACAGGTCTAAGAAAATCTGCATTGGCCAATGATATGGATTAGTTTTTAACAAAGTGCTACAGTTTCTTGTTGCAAACCATTTTATTCATTTTCTTAGAGCAGGCATGGGCAGAATTTGTCCTTCCAGGTGTTTTGGACTTCAACTTCCACAATTCCTGACAGCCAGTAGGCTGTTAGGAATTGTGGGAGTTGAAGTCCAAAACCCCTGAAGGGACAAAGTTTGCCCATGCCTGTCTTAGAGGCATTTTCTCTTATGTAGTTTTAATGTTCTCATGTGGTCTATCACATAGAGCTTCACAACTGTCTTGAAGTCTCACCTCAAGGTAGGACGTCCATAGGCAAAGGCACCATTATCCCTGTACAGTGAATCCTTGTCTCTCTGTTTGGTCAGGATTGTTTCTTTACTTATTATTTAGTAACAAATAACAGTTTAAACCATATAAAATCTCCAGATTTTGAGAAGAGCTATGATTCTCTCATATCACAGCAATATGTTAAGAAACAACTATACATTAGGATGTGTCTACTCTAGTCATTTGAGCAAATCTATGTACCATACATTTTATAAAGATCAGTATAGGTTGGTTGGTTTGTCTGTTTGTACCACAAAAGCTCTTTCGTGGTTTGATGGATCTTGACCAAATGTGGCAGACACACCCTTCATTATCCAACTTAAATATTGAGGAGCCTGAACTATAAAAAATACTCCACATCTTTTGAGCCCAGGGCAGAGGGGCAAGAAAGGATTAAAGTGGATTGGCTGTTGGTAGGTGAAGGATTGGTTGATGATAGGTATGATCTTTTATGTAAAGAAAGGGAGTAGAGTGACTTTGCTGTTGCTAATTGACATATTATTAGGGGGAGGGAGGGAGGGAAGGAAGGAAGAAAAGAAGGGAAAGAAAGAAAAGGAGGAGGGAAGGAGGGAGGGAGCAAGTGGGGAAAAAGAAAAAGGAAGGAAGGAAGAGAAAGGAGAGTGGAAAAAGTATGAAGGGAGGAAAGGAAAGAAAGAGAGGCACCAAAGGAAGGAAAGACAGCTTGCTCACTATTGCCAGAGTAGTGCTATGGAGGCACCACGAGGTAGGCCTTCTCAAAGCTGGAGAAGGGAACAATCAGGTTGGCAGCAGCCCCAACAACACCCAATCAATGCTAGGCATATACACTCATAGAAATATGAAGTGTCCTGGGATTTGTATCACAATGTGAAGCAGTGGGGAAAGAATAATGTAGGACAAACATATTTATTCCTTTTCATAGTGAATCAGTCAGTGCATTTGCAACAAGATGGCTTCGAACTAAATAATTCATAATTCTTCGTATGTTATACATTGGATTTTGTTACTGAGGCTGTAAGTTGAATACATTAACATTTCAGGATAATAATTTGTAAAATATATACAATTAAGGACTGTTTTTTACCAAATGTTTTATTGACGTTGTATACATAATCCTCAAGATGGTGAGCTAAGTCTTGCCACATAAGTAGCTGAGTTTTGCACTTAATAGCTGCACTCTCAGAGTGCATAGGAAGATCCTTGTAAATAATCTTCATGTCCTAGGTTGACTCCTCTAGGCGAGACAGTATCCTGCCATGGCTAGCAGTGTAAAGGCAAATAATTGGTACAATTAAAATGAGTCAAACAAACAGGCATGATTATCGAACAATAATAACAATAACAGAGGAATTTTATCAGGTTTAATGATACTCCATAAAGATAAAGTAATAATTTTAATCAGAGTTGTGTGATATCAATTTAACGTTACACAACTCCTTCCATTTTGTTATATTTTTAATGAAAAGGAAGATACCAGGAGGTCATGGTTATATTGTATTTTTCTTGACTGAGATGAAAAACAATCTGTTGAAGCTAGAAAAGCATTTGAGGGCTTAAAAGTGATAGCAAACGATGACCAGTAGAATAAAGGCAAAGAACCGGTGCTATAGAGAAGAAGAGAGTCTAAGAAGAACACAGAGAGAAGATCTATTCCATGATGTTGGATCCCACCTCTTATTTTCATTATGCTGACATCCAAAGAGTCAGTATAAAAAGTATAGAAGCAGTATAGAAACTGACCAATGATATAGTATAACAGTTAAAGCTTACCACCACGGGCTGTTGGTTCTTTAACTGGCGATGTGTTCAGATTAACATGTAAAGAGATTCTTAAACTGAACTGAAATTTTATCTTTGGACATATAGCACCCACTGCTAGCAGAGCAGGTTGTCTCATCAATATTCTTTCACCAAGGCAATTACATTCTGGATGCCGGATTACTTCCCAACAAGTAACACAAGTTTGACCTTTACAGGTCTCTTCTCCTGATAGAAAGGCATCTCTTTAGTTCATGAAACATGCAGTCCATATAACATTAGGGAGGTGAGCAAACTACCAACAAGATTAACTGAATTGCTCACAGCCCCACTGAATGCCACTTTGAAAGGGAAGAAGAAATCAAATGGAAGCTTCCAAGTAATTCTAGGCTGTCCACGTGGTGGCTCTGGCCATTTGGTAACATCCGTGAAGGTAGCTGCAGTCGTCAAAGATATCATGTTCATAGATATGTCAAGGGACTGGAAGGAAAATGACAACACACTATTACCTTAGGTCCTGATGAGCCTTGTTTAGTTGTTAATTTTAGTCAGTCTTGAGGGGAGAAGGCACAGAATGAAAAAAAAAACTTGTTTGGTATTCTTCATATCCTCACTTCATCATTACTTCATCATAATACGATGAGGTGGCCAATAAAATATGAGTAAGAGGCCAAAGAATTTGTGTGAGCTTTTAAATGGAATGTACCCACCTCTTCCTTTTTCCAAGACCAGCTGAATCCCCATGATGTGAAAGAACTGGAATATAATGGCAGTTTGGACTCCGATAACCCAGTTCAATGCAGATATTGTGGGATTTTCTGCCTTGATATTCTGGGATATAGGACTATGTGGAAGGGCACTCAGGATCTGACAGAAGATGGAGTGCATGGTACTTCTATGCCACATCTAAAAAGGGGCTTACATCATTAACATGATGCCAACCAGTGTGACAAAATAGACATCATTTTGCCTGTCAAAAACTAAGATAAATGTGTGTGGGTAGCACACAGCACAGATATTTGCATTCACTATTACGCTTCTGTAAAAATAAGTTTGTTCCACTTTAAAATGTCACAATTGTACCAAATTATTCTATAATTCTGAATGTTAAATAGATTTTGAATGAAGCATTTTATGTGGTAAAAAATAAACATACATTCTGGTTTTCCAGGAAATGTATTGTACATATTTAAGTTTTTCTATTTTTCCAGAAAAAAAGGTAAATCAACTATTCTTCTCCAGATTTCAACATTTCCCAGAACTATTTCTATTTTCATTGTATCATGAATGATATTCCTTTCTCACAGTGGGAAACAAGGATTTTTCCAACAACAAAGGGAAAAGAAAAGTGGTCTCCTTTCTAGTTTCTATCTATTTTAATTTGTGGAAGAAAGGAAGTTGTAGTCTATATAGCTTCTTGCTAAAATGTGTGAATCATAGTCAAATTCTTCTGTCACCTGTTCTATCTCATGAATGTTGGAAAAGAAGTTATTCCTACTATCCCTTCTGATGCTACAGTGACAAAAAAAGGCACTGCGCTCTCAGCCTCTTGAAGTCCTTTTTGCTAGGATATCAGATTAATTTATATACCACAGATACAGAGCAGCATCCAAATATATCACTTGCACAATCTTCCCTCAGATTCCCTCTGGACTAGTTCACACTTATCAATTAATTTTCCTGCTAATCTTTACAAAAATACTGTTAAAGCATTAGGATTTAGCTAGGATTTGCCATCACCACTGTCCTTTCTCACAAACAAATATTTTAATGCAGTGATTCAGTTCTAAGACTAAAACATATTTTTGCATTATGTACAACATAATTCTAAAGGGTTTGGCCTCACACACTCTTCTCACATGCATCAAAATAGTGGTATAAAGAATTCATTAAAAGGAAATTCCCATAATGTTTGAACTTGGGAAACTGTAGTTGCTTTGAATTCTAAGCAAAGAAGCCATCGTCACCATAGTAGGAACCTAACTTGTATGGCCCAATAGGAGTCTATCCAAACCAGAACCACCTTGAGCTTCAACAAAGTAGCCTGGGTAGTTTGAACTGGAAGTGAATATTTTTGGTCTCCTCCTCTGAAACATGAAAGAGGGAAGGATATGGAAAAGACCTGAATTCAGTTGTAATTTACATATGCAAAGTTAAATTCTGGTGCAAAGTGGTTCAATGAAACTGAAAAAAACCCTAGAAGTATTATATGTGACATACCGTAAGAGGCTTGCAGACATAATAATACCGTGCTCCCAATACTTGAGCTTGTGGGTTAGACAAGAGGCCCACCTGAGCCCATATCACCTGGATCTTCAGAGAAACAGGAAGCATACAGTGTCCATTCTAGAAAGAAAAAAGGAAATCAAATAAAAGTAATCCTGAAAGGTAGTACAGTCATCCCTCCTTTTTTGTGGGATTAAGAGAACCCTGTGGATCATGACTCCTTTCCATCTTTCTGTGTTACATGTGTTCATTTCACCTGAGTAAAGGAAGGGAGGTACCAGAGGAAACAGGCACATGGGGCTGGTAGTGGAGGAGGGACTGGCTCTGCATATCACAACATTTACCCTATAGATCTTGACCCCTTTCCCTCTTCCTGTGTGCCTATTTCACCCAGCACCTCCTTTCTTTTTCCCAGGAAAAATAGACACACAGAGAGTATGCAGAAAAAGGAGCTGCAATCTGCAGGATAAACAAAGTGGTGAGCAGGGCCTATTCATTCTCCTCCTCTTCCTGTGTGCTGTGTGTGTCTGTTTCACATAGGCAAGGGATATATCAAGTGAAACAAACACATATAGCACATCCATTTCTCAAAGATGAGGCTGCCCTGTGAACATCAACAGGTGAGATGGGTAGTCATCACCACCCATACCACACCCACCTTTCAAATAGCTCCCTTCCCCCACCTGACAAAATCTCCTAAGGACAGGGCTGCCATGTGAATGTTCTGTGTTAATTGCACTCAGCCCTCCATATCTGCAAGTTTCACACTTTCAGTTCTAATGGTTTGCTAACTTGTACCACAAATCCTGCTTCCCAAAGTTGGGACTGCTGTCTGATTCACGTGGTAGCTCCAACTTCCGGAGACGGGGGTGGTGAAACAAACTGATAAATAATCAAAACTGAGAGTATGAAACCTGCAAAAGTGTAGGGCTGACTGTAATTTAGCAAAATAATTAATAGATAAGTAGTAGATAATGCCCAGAATAACTGCAACTTCTATATCCAAGCATAGAGCAAAATGTAAGGAAGCAATTGGTACTGCATGGGAATGCAAGATATGAAACATTTACAGTCACAATTCCCCTTTCAATGGCAGGAATAAACAAAAGGATATAGAGTGTGGGTTTGTGAAGGGGCTACAGATTTTGGCAAAACAGAATGTGCAGAGTGATTTGAATGAAGTGAAAAAAAATCTCATATTGGGCAGATGTCTGCTCATCCTTCAGGTGATGTGATGTAGCTTAGAAGGAGAAGCCAAGAATGGAGCTTGCTTCTCCATTTCTCTTTTTATTACCTGCACATTGCATCTTTTGGTGATTATACTGTTCCATTCACCTAGATGTTCTGGGTTAGCATTTCCAGTGATAGCCAAACTTCCTAGACCATGTCCCCCTTGAAAGGCTTCATATAACATCTCCTGCAAATTGCTACAGTTTTCTTCCTCCAGTGTGAAAGGTACACTAGAATTAAGAAAGAACAAATGCCTGATAATGAAATTTCATTTCCATACAGAAAAACAGAACAAGACAGCTGTCATATTTAAATGGCTGTGCCAACTAAAATCCATCAATACAATGACAAATCATCTACAGCTTTACTCATTGAAAGAATGGGGATGAAAGGAATGTGAAGATGCTTTTCTGTGGACTGAAGATATACTAGGTATTTAGAACAGGAGTTTAAGAAACGAAACTGTAATCTTTATGGAACATTGATAAGTCAGTCCTTCAATGAAGGTGCAGTCTGTGACAGCACAAGCAAGAACAGCCTTTTAAAACATTGCAGTATACATGCCAAGCATGCAACAAATATCCTTGATTTGATCAATTTCCTTTGAAATTTGCACAGGAAAGAGCCGTTGCAAGAGAATATATAGGGGAGGGGGTTACCTGAGTTGGCAACCTGTTCTTACATTTTCTCCAAACAGCACATTATACCTCTCAGTTGCTGAACATCGCCCATCAGCTTGATTTTGTAAAATGGTTATCTGTAGAAAGAGACATGTCAAGGAGCACAACAAGAACATAAAATAACTAGAGAGACCCCTCAGTCTTGATGAAAAAAGGCAACATCACTCATATTAATATCAAATACATTTAACTTGGTTTGTTACGTGACACGTTCCCATTCCCTTATTATTCTCTACAAAACTGTTGGGCTTGTCATACAGTTCACTTGTGAGTAATTCCTGTTCTGTAAATATTGAAGCTTTGATGTAATTTTCACAGTTTTTTTTTATTTTTGCATTTCATTGCCATTTGATTCTATAATTTACAACTTTCATACTCATATACATATATAAAGGGGGGGAGCTCTACCAAGCAGAGGAGAATACATCATATACTTAATAAAACAACCTCTAGTTGATGAAAACATAAGACATAATATATGCATTAATCTTAACACTGTTACTACTCCTTTGAAAGTTTTTATAAGAATGACACACTCTCTCAACATCATCACATCTTATATTTCTATTTCCACCCATAGTCGCATGCTCTTTCAAGTGTCTCCAAGAACTCAATATTTGTACTGCATACAGACTACAAAGGGGAAGAAATCCAAGGCACAGAACTTCAGAGTATAAGGAAATATACATACACATACCTCCTGCTCACTGCTGTAACCCTAAACCTTGTCAAAGAAACCTGAGATCTACTGACTATCAGTTATGCTGCAAGTAATTCTGCTGGACACATAAAATAAGATCTGAGCAGGAAATAAATCAGACTAGCTTTCAAATGTAATTTATATAAGAAAGAGCAGGAAACCATGTTACCCAAATACAGGTAGTCCATGGATTATGAACAGGATAGGTTCTGTAGGTTTGTTCTTTTTAAGTGTAACTCCAGCCATTTTTTTTTTAAAAAATGGGACAGCATAGGGAAGGGATCCCTGTAATGTTTGTTTTGCTATTTGTGCCAATGTTCAGAAGATTTCACCTCACTTTCTGTCCCTGTGAGAATTGGATTTTGAAAATTTTGGGTTGTTGTGGAAACAATTATTGGTGATAAAGCTTTTTTCCATGATAACAGTTCAAGGAGTGAATTTCCCTTCTTAGGAATCATAGAATCATAGAATCAAAGAGTTGGAAGAGACCTCATGGGCCATCCATTCCAACCCCCTGCCAAGAAGCAGGAATATTGCATTCAAATCACCCCTGACAGATGGCCATCCAGCCTCTGCTTAAAAGCTTCCAAAGAAGGAGCCTCCACCACACTCTGGGGCAGAGAGTTCCACTGCTGAACGGCTCTCACAGTCAGGAAGTTCTTCCTAATGTTCAGATGGAATCTCCTCTCTTGTAGTTTGAAGCCATTGTTCCGCGTCCTAGTCTCCAAGGAAGCAGAAAACAAGCTTGTTCCCTCCTCCCTGTGGCTTCCTCTCACATATTTATACATGGCTATCATATCTCCTCTCAGCCTTCTCTTCTTCAGGCTAAACATGCCCAGCTCCTTAAGCCGCTCCTCATAGGGCTTGTTCTCCAGACCCTTGATCATTTTAGTCGCCCTCCTCTGGACACATTCCAGCTTGTCAATATCTCTCTTGAATTGTGATGCCCAGAATTGGACACAATATTCCAGATGTGGTCTAACCAAAGCAGAATAGAGGGATAGCATTACTTCCTTAGATCTAGACACTATGCTCCTATTGATGCAGGCCAAAATCCCATTGGCTTTTTTTGCCGCCACATCACATTGTTGGCTCATGTTTAACTTGTTGTCCACGAGGACTCCAAGATCTTTTTCACACGTACTGCTCTCGAGCCAGGCGTCCCCCATTCTGTATCTTTGCATTTCATTTTTTCTGCCAAAGTGGAGTATCTTGCATTTGTCACTGTTGAACTTCATTTTGTTAGTTTTGGCCCATCTCTCTAATCTGTCAAGATCTTTTTGAATTCTGCTCCTGTCCTCTGGAGTATTGTCTATCCCTCCCAATTTGGTGTCGTCTGCAAACTTGATGATCATGCCTTCTAGCCCTTCATCTAAGTCATTAATAAAGATGTTGAACAGGACCGGGCCCAGGACGGAACCCTGCGGCACTCCACTTGTCACTTCTTTCCAAGATGAAGAGGAAGCATTAGTGAGCACTCTCTGTGTTCACCCACTTAACCAATTACAGATCCACCTCACCGTAGTTTTGCCTAGCCCACATTGGACTAGTTTCCTTGCCAGAAGGTCATGGGGGACCTTGTCGAAGGCCTTACTGAAATCCAGGTACGCTACATCCACGGCATTCCCCGCATCTACCCAACACTATTTTTTCCCTAACAAACAATAATTTGAAATGTCCAGCCACATCTGATAATGAAGAGACTGGATCAAACACAGTGCTGAAAGGATACATACTGCTCAGTGCCATTGTAGAGTGCTATTAGTGGGGCTCCTGTAATATAGCCAGGATTCCCACTTCTCTTTCTGGTGGAAGGGCTTCTACTCTGTAAGAGGAAATAAAAAGTTAGAAAATATGGGCTAGCATGGAATTACCAAGAGAAATCTAGGATATCATATTGCCTCAACTACATTGTCAAAATAGTATCACTTTTCTTTCTTAATCTCCCATATTCATCACTGTAACAAGGTTGAGGACTGTTCCAGCCAGATATCAGATCTAGAAAAAATGTCAATAATCCTGAGTCCTTAGTTTAACAGTAAATTCTAATAGTTCAGTGGATACTGATGGCCTTGAAAAGTATCTGGACTTCTGTATTCCAAGCACATAATGGTAGAAAATGGTGACAGAACCATCCTCACAAGCCAACTGTATGTCAGGGAAGTAGTAACTGCTTCCACAGCATCAATATCATCAAGACTCACATCAACACAACATCTACATAAAATATGATCCAGTTTAACACACGGTTCCAGTTTCCTTATTACCAACTTTGATGTTCCTCTTTAGAACAGGGACGTGTACAACAACAGGCACTAACCCAAAAATGCAGAGAGAAGTGTTGTTGCAGTGTAGCTTTTGGATTCCCAGATATATTGGCTAATTTGAACTGAACAGAAACTTCTTGAATTCCAAGGATTCCATTGAACTGCACCTCATAGGACACCTAGAAACATACATAACAGGTCAGCAGAAGACAAAACTAAATATTAAATAGGATTCAGTTTCCTTCCCCAGATCTGGTAATAAGAACAGTATGAAATACCTCAGTAACGACATTGTGGCAGATGCCGCCAATCAGTGAAGGAGAAGCAGGCTCTGAGAGTGCAGTGATGTTGACCTAGAGATATAGCATTTTTCCAGTTTTTAAAGATCAACATATCTTTGGCTAACACAATTTGTTCTATATATAATGCCTGTGTATTTCCCACAATTATTCTCTTTCCAATCTAAGGCCAGAATTCTTATTGCTGAACTTCATTGGCAATTGTGCTTCTTCCCAGGAACCTGCAGAGGTGTTAAGCAAAGATGCCCCATCTTCAGGAATCAAGCATGGAGAGAATATCTTGGCCCCACCCATCAACTGAGGATGGGGCTGCCTTGTGAATGTTTACAAGGCAACGCCATGTTTCCTGAGCTGGGTGTAAAGCAGAGGTGATCTCTTGAGGATAAGGGTACTGAGAAAATGTCTATGGGGCAAGCCCAACTTTGGGAGGCAGGCACAGAAGTACAAGCTTGCAAACAATCAAAACTGCAAATGTAAAATCCATGAATGTGGAAACCGTAGTTTCCCTTCCTATACTGTTCTGTTCCATGAATTCACAAAGAATTACTGGTGATTCCAAAGAAGGGTTCCTTTAACTGAAGGGAAGAAAAACTATCACTAAGATTATTTCACCTGTTCAGGTTGGAACACGGTATTGTTGACTGGGACCTGAAAAAGAGAAATCACAGAAGCCTTATTATCTGCTTAAGAACATTAAAAAAACCCTTGATATTAGTTTTTCAGTTTCATCTTTTGTACAATGAACACTTTTCTACTGGAAATGGAGAGGTTATTTGGCAATGGCCAAGCTTCTTTTTTCTCATCCCTGTACCAGTCCTGTACACATGGAAATTTTTAACTCAAGATTTCTAAACTGTTCAGAAATAAAGACTTAAATAAATAAAGCAACAATATTCATACTTTTAGGATGTCTGAGAGGCTATGCTTGAAGGGAAACCTGCATTTGGATTCTAGATTTTTCAACTGTTTTGTTTCCAGCTTCAGAATATTTGAATAACAGAATCATAAAATAATAGAGTTAGAAGAGATCACATGGGTCATCTATTCCAACCCCCTGCCATGCAGAAAAAGCACAATAAAGGTAGAAAGTTGTTAGAGTGGCTTTTTAGAAAGTGGTTACCTATACATTTATAAAAAATAAGTGATAGTAGCAGTAGTGCAACAACCACCACAAGTTAACTTGTACTAGAAAACATAAGCAATATTACAACAAAATGGTGAAACAGCAGGGTGAATTGCAGATCAGATAATAATACCTTTAGCACAGTGAAATCACGGTAATATGAAGCTGCATCCAATACAGGATCGGTAGTGCAGCTTCTCATCAGGTCGGTAAATATTCGCAAACAGTTTGTGCTTTTACTCTCTAGAAAAGCTGAGAAATAAAAAAGCAACACGAGAAAACAGACAACAAATCAGAAAGTTTTCAAATAATTTAATGTGGATGCATCTTACATGAGGGTTTCCAACTGTTAAGACTCCAGAATCTTACAACCTGGATTCATCATCAACATTATCTGTCAAACAGAAACTATGCAATCTGAGCTCTGCGCTTCAAAAGAACCGCTTATGCTACAAATTTGGCTCTGTCATCTGAACACATACTCCAACTGAACCAAATACCAATCCTGACCATCAAGTTTTACAAAACCCTGGCTTCAGTTCACTTCATACTGTAACTATAAACAAGTCTTCATACCAAAGATTATCTTATCTAAACACATCTTATTTCTGAAATCAAACTACATATTTTTGACACTTTTGAATCTGCTTTTGGAACTTGACTTCTTATTGTTCTAGGTTATACTTCGTCCTAGCCTTTTGGCACCTACCTACTGTCTCTGAAAAATAGTCTGTGGTATCTCTGGACCACAATGCCACCCAGTCTCTCCAAATGACGACAGTCTCCTGGCAGACATAGAAACTTTACTTCTAGAAGGCCAAGAGGACTCAAACACAATCATAATTTTAGCTTTTCCACAATATAAGGCATTCCTGATTTTACATGTGGCTAGCAAAAGTTGAGTGCAAAATAGTATTTAAGTGATATATTCTGCTTAGATGTAGGCTATTTCTATATCTCATAGATTTATTCCACTAGCACTAAAGAAAAAAGGATTTGTTTATTTTTGCCTCTTTGAAGAAAGAAATTAGTTTCTTTGGCTATTGGAAACAGTGAATGGCACATAAGTACACACAAAATTTGTGAATTACTGATAAATAGTGTTAAATCTTTGTTCAGGTCAACATGCTCACCAGCAGGATTTTCATCTAGACAAAGCTGGCTGACTCCTATACCCACAGGTTGTCTGAGCACACTCAACATAGATGATGAAGCAAAGTATGTCTGAATTTGATTACCCATCTGAAATGAAAAAAAAGAAGAGTTTACAAACAGCAACACACACATAGGAAAGGAGCGTAGGCCTCAGGAAAAGTGATATTACTGAAGCCAATCTTTTTTTCTCATTCATTCTCTCATTCATTCAGTTTACACCCCACTTTGTTTAAACCCTACAATTGTGAACACAATTGAAGCATGAAATGAATTAAAATATAAAAATGTAAAACATAATTAAAACCACGCCAATAGATTTGCTTATTCCTTCACCCTACTGTAAGAGCATGGCTATCTGAATAAGCTTGTGTTGTAATTTATGGACAGCTTAGAGTCAATTTACCTGGTAAAAAGCAGCTGGAGATGACTGAGCTTGTTCTGGTAATATGAAGGATGGCCCTCCATATTCTGCTGAAAGTGCTGGGAAGTTTGCTTTTGTAACCAACTGTGGTTCCTGTAAATAGTTCAGTTTTGCTATAAATACAAACGGGAGAGAACAAATAAACCCATCAGTAGCATCACAATGTTTGTGGTATCTTATTTCTTTTGGCAAATCCATCCAATATGAACTTGAATGAGAAAAGTATATTATTTACTCTTTATATAAGACTTTTATTTATAATAAAATCACATTACTGTGAAAAAAATACTTTACTAATTAACTAAATGTAAACAGTAAGAAAACCTAATATATATATATTCAAGCTTGTAGAGTTTAGCAATCATAAAATTATATTGCTAACAATAAGTATATCTAATAATTAGCATTAGGAAATGTATTTCCTGACAACACTGGGTACATAAACTAGTTATTAATAATTAGTTTTTTTGGCTGGGTCACACTCTCTCAGCCTTGAGTCACACACACTGCTTCACAGAAAGGTGAAGCAGTGTGTGTCAGCAATACTGCCTGACAGCAATACTGCCTGACACCAAGCTATAAAATAATTTCAGTTCAACTGTCTTTAACAGATATTTCTATCAGCCATTTTTTGTTCCCTATCAAATATAAAGTGTAAGCTTCGGACATATAATATAGGCATGATCTTCATTTTGAAAATCTACAACAGCCAGCCTCATTTTTGAATTACGTATGAGTTTTACATCTCTCCTCTATCTCTTTTTCTAATATGTATTTCAATGATGAACTCTGAAGAAGTCATAACTCTGTATACTGCTTTCGTTGGTTCTGATTGGGGAGAAGTAATGGCTGCTTGAGATATATTTTAAAGATAGTTAGATTGTAACTGTTTTATATGTCATTGTCAGCCAACAGAAAAGATTGTATGGATCTTTCTCTGAGGCAGAGAGTGTGATTCAAGGCCGAGACAATGTGATTCAGTCAAGACAACCATGTATTAATAATTACGGTAACTTATATACTCAGTGTTGTTCAGATATGCATTTTCTAATGCTAATTATGATATTAGAAATACTCATTGTTAGCATTATATTACATGATTGCTAAGTGGTACAAGCATTTTCCAGGTTTTCTTACTGTTTAACGTTTAGTTAATTAATAAAGTATTTTTTCACATTAATGTCATCTCACAATAAATAAGAAATTAAAATAATATGTGTAATCAATATTAACTAAAACTTACCTTTTAAGGTACCTTTTTTGAGTCCCCTTTGCGGAGATATAGGAGGGTATAAGAAGGAGGAGGAGGTTTATTTGCAAAATAGTTTAATCATTAATTATACCTTTACTTGGAAAGTGACATGTTAAAAACCTATCTGCGTCCTGAAGGCGTTTAGCCTATTTTACTACTGCCAAATTGTTGCAGGTCTCCCCTACAGGTGTCAAACAGCACCCACTGCTTAACAAATTGAAACAGTAAATCATTGGAGTCAGGTAGAAGCAAGTAAGATTCTTCCTGATTTCAATCATCTTGGACTAAATAACTAAAAAAAGATCTGCTAACTCTAGCTGAAATAATCAGATAGGTAGGGTGAGAGCTCTATGCTAAAACATCGGAAGAGCACAAAGCTGCCTACCTCTGCACTTAAGAAATTGTGGACCAACTAGAGAAAAGACTGTTGTCTCTGATTACTCAGACCTCCACCAATTTGGTGACAGGGCGTAATCTGTATTATTATTATTATAATCGAAACTTTCCTTGGTAACTAATAGAAAATAGAATCTACTCCTTGTGAGGGTATTTTAAGAATGGCAAGGTTAATAATAACAAAATAATTGCATAAAGTTTCTATTGTATCTACTGGATCTTCATCAACGGCCAAAAATACACTTGCATTATGAACTTAAAATCTGCTTTTAGAAAAAAAAAATCTTGACCAAAAGGAAAAACCATCAAGATGTTAATTCAAACTTACAATCATTTAATTGTACACAGAAGAGCAATTTACAGCCATCAGAACTAGGGACGATCTGAGTGCGGTAGGGAGTGTTATTTCGGAAAATGAGAGACTTGTCCAAACACATCTGACTCACAGCCCTAAGCAAAAAACATAAACATACAAAAATCAGAGAGGCTCCATTTGAGCAAACTTGCACCAACAATATTTTCCAGACAATTATTTCTAGTGGGTATGGCTAAGCACAAGGCTTACTGAACAGGTTGGGCAAATAATGAAAGGGATTGTTTCTGCTCTATCCTGAAGGCTTCTAAAGGTCAACAAAAAAAGATAGCCTAAATATGTCTACTTGAAGCCATTGAAGAGCTGGGCTTTTTTCCTCCTGTTTCTACTTTGTCGGAGGCAGGTATACCAAAGTCATGCAAATCTGCCCCAAGGCCACTTTAGAGAATTCTGTAGTCTTGAAGAATGCAGGTTATTACCTTGAAAATACCAATCTAAACAAATCTACAGTGTAAGAAAAGCAGTCACTGTTCTATTTAACACAGGATTGTGTTTAGTTTAATTGGCAATTATTGACCCTGTTACCCAAGGATCATTTTAACTACAGATGCCAGGATCTGAATCTGAGATCTTCTACATAGAAAGTCTGTGCAAGGAAGCAATTGACAGTAGCCAAGATAAAAAAGCTCTCCCCTGCCAACATACGGATGAGACTACATATGTGAAGTGAACCTCTCAAAGAAATGGAACATTTCCATGCATCTATAATTATATAAATAGGACTCCAAAATAATCAGACATATTTAGGCTGTCTTTTTTTTACCTCCAGGACAGAACAGAAACAATCCCTTTATTGCTTTAGCCAGATTCCTCAATACAGGTTTTTATATTTCCCAAACCAATGTAAAACGCACAACATTGACATTTTATACAACATTAGCATTTCAGCTCCTTTCCTAAAAACATCAAACACTTGGATTTGAAGCACACACAGATTTCCAAGGAAAATAAAAGAATCTTGTTAGCTAGCTTGTCAATTCTTATTACCTTTCCTTATACACTGAATAGAGGTGATATTCTCTATTAGGTTCACTTTACCTGGTGCTGCCTGGAAGGCAGAAGGAGAAGGGGCAGTCGGAGCTCCCCAGGTTGCATTGTAAGCCACAGTTTGAATCACAGCAGCAGTTAAGGTCACAGAAACCTGGATGGAGGTCACAGGGGCAGAGTAAGTCTGGATGGGAAGAAGCAGAAGAAGAAAAGAGATGAAGCAATCAGGGTTCATCAAAGGTCCCTTCTATGCAGCTGAATAAAATCCCACATTTTCTGCTTTGAACTGGAATATATGGCAATGTGGACTCAGATAACCCAGTTCAAAGCAGATATTGTGGGATTTTCTGCCTTGATATTCTGGGTTATATGGCTGTGTGGAAGGGCCCTAAGCCTCCGACTATCCCAGGGCATGAACTGAGAAAGGAGCTTCACTACCTATTACTGATTGATTTTTTTTTTTTAGTGTCAGGAGCGACTTGAGAAACTGCAAGTTGTTTCTGGTGTGAGAGAATTGTTTAAGAAGTTCTGATTTAGAGTTTAGTTTGACACTTTTGACCCAAGACCATGAAATCCTGGGATATGTAGATTTACAATGTCTCTCGCCTTCTCTTCCAAAGAGTGCTGGTGCCTCACCAAACTACAACTCCCAGGATTCCATAACATTGAGATATAGCCGTTAAAGTAGTGTCAAAATGCATTAAATGCAATTACATCTTAACTCAGAGGGCCTTCTCGGTGGTGGCCCCCCAGCTCTGGAACTCCCTCCCTAGGGAGATCAGACAGGCTTCCACCATGTCCTTTTTCCAGAGTCAACTAAAAACCTGGATGTTCTGGCATGCTTTTGATTCAGCAGTCCACCAGAATTTTTTCTGTTTCCTACTTTAAGCTCAGCACTTTACACCGGTCTAGCTCAACATGTTGTTGACAGTATTTCCAGCCCTCCCCATTTGATTGTTTCACTTTTCTTGTGCTCCTGACAGAATATATTGCACTCAGTGAGTTTGTACCCCAGATATGTTCTTTTTTCTCAGCCATATTGTTTTGATTTTTTTTATAATTGTGAGTGTTTTCATTTTATCTGGTGTTTTTAATCTGCTGTGTTTTACTTGTAATTTTGGGCTTGTCCCTTGTAAGCCGCCCCGAGTCCCCTTGGGGAGGTGGTTGGAGGGGTATAAAAATAAAGTTGTTCAATGTATTGTCGAAGGCTTTCATGGCCGGAATCACTGGGTTGTTGTAGGTTTTTCCGGTCTATATGGCCATGTTCTGGAGGCAATTTTTACCTGACGTTTCGCCTGCATCTATGGCAAGCATCCTCAGAGGTAGTGAGGTCTGTTGGAAGTAGGAAAAAATGGGTTTATATATCTGTGGAATGACCAGGGTTGAAATTGTCCACATGCTTGTGGATTTCAATGGCTTCTCTGTGTAGTCTGGCATTCAATGGCTTGGAAGTGCCTGGGGGAATCTTTTGTTGAGAGTGGTTTTATGTGCCTGTTTTGTTTTCCCTCTGTTGTTTTGCTGTTGTAATTTTAGAGTTTTTTTTAATACTGGTAGCCAGATTTTGTTCATTTTCATGGTTTCTTCCTTTCTGTTGAAATTGTCCACATGCTTGTTGGACAAATAAAGTTGTTGTTGTTGCTATTATTATTATTATTATTATTGAAAAGGCGGCACATGGATAATAATAATAATAATACTTTATTTATACCCCGCCACCATCTCCCCAAGGGACTTGGAGTGGCTTACATGAGGCCAAGCCCAACAACACATCAAAAAGCAACAATAAAATAACAAGCAATAAACAAAATAAACAATACAATTAATATAACTCACAAGTAGACAATAAACACAAGAATTTAAAAACCTATGGCTGGGCCAAATGTAATAGTTAAAACTTTAAAAATAAATGCTGGACATGAACAGAGGATGTCTCTATTTGGAGGGTTTTAAATCAAAAGTAAAGAGCAACCCAATGGGTAATTAAAGTGCTTCTCAGAGTATTTGCAGGGGATTGTTTCCTTTATTCAGGGAAGGCACACTGGAACAGCCACGTTTTCAGGCTGCTGAAGACGGCCAATGTGGGGGCTTATCTGATATCCTTGGGGAGTGAGTTCCAGAGTCGAGGGGCAACCATGGATAAGGCCCTTTCCCTTTTCCCCACCAATCGCGCCTGTGAGGGAAGTGGGAACGAGAGCAGGGCCTCCCCAGATGAATGGAAAGATTGTGTGGGTTAGTACACGGAAATGCGGTCACGTTGGTAGGCGGGTCCCAAACCGTTCGGGGCTTTGTAGGTCAGAACCTGAACCTTGAATTGGGATCGGAAAATGAACGGCAGCCAATGGAGCTGCTTAAACAGGGGGGTTGACAGCTCCCTGTAAGTCGCCCCAGTAAGTAACTTGGCTGCCACCCGTTGGACCAATTGAAATTTCCGAGCCGTCTTCAAGGGCAGCCCCACATAGAGTGCATTACAGGCATTGGCAAACTTGGGCCCTCCGGGTGTTTTGGACTTCACCTTCCACAATTCCTAACGGCCTGTTAGGAATTGTGGGAGTTGGAGTCCAAAACTCCTGGAGGGCCCAAGTTTGCCCATGCCTGCATCATCCCATACGCTCTCACCGCCTGGAGATTCAGGGCTCTCGTCCCTCTGGACTTCGGGCGTCGTTTCGCTGGGTCGCGCCGCTTCCGTGGGGGCCTCCTCCGCCTTCAGAGTCCTATTCTCCGCCCCCAAAGTACTGTTAATGTCCTCCGCCATCAGAATAGTGCTGCTTTCTTCTGGCTTCAAAGTACTGTTTACTTCCTCGGCCTTCGGGGTAACGTTTTCCTCCTCCGTCTGGGCCTTCGACAATCCTGACACTGAGAAGAACAAGAGGAGAAGCAAGGGCAGCCTGAGCGCCATAGCTGCCGCATCTCTCCGTTGCTAAGGAGACCCCCCGCGTCGCACGCTGATGACGTAACGCGCAAAAGGAAAGCGTTGGCTTAATCGTCCGCTCGGCAGGCCCCTAGAGCTAGGAAAGGGTAACGGTTATTCAACAGACTCGTAGCATGAACTTCCGAGTCTAAATCGCTCTTTTCTTCCTCTCTCTGCTGGGCGATCTATAGAAAACCAAGAGGACAGAAGTCCGGTTCTTAGAAAGTGTAAAACAATCAAGGGGAAATAGGAGGGGACTTGAAATGCAACGGGTCCTCATGCAAGAATAGGCAAAGCTGGACCATAGGGAAGGCTGAGCGAAGGAAGATAGATGCTTTTGAACTGTGGTGTTGGAGGAAAGTTCTGAGAGTGCCTTGGACTGTGAGAAGATCCAACCAGTCCATCCTCCAGGAAATAAAGCCTGACTGCTCATTGGAGGGAAGGATACTAGAGACAAAGTTGAAGTACTTTGGCCACATCATGAGGAGACAGCAAAGCCTGGAGAAGACAATTATGCTGGGGAAAGTGGAAGGAAAAAGGAAGAGGGGCCGACCAAGGGCAAGATGGATGGATGGTATCCATGAAGTGACTGGCTTGACTCTGAAGGAGCTGGGGTGGTGACGGCTGACAGGGAGCTCTGGCGTGGGCTGGTCCATGAGGTCACGAAGCGTTGGAAGCGACTGAACAAATGAACAACACCATCCTTGTGGGAGGCTTATCTCATGTTCCCGCATGGGGAGCCTGAGCTGACAGAAGAAGCTCATCCGTGCTCTCCCCAGATTCGAACCTGCGATGTGTCGATCTTCAGTCCTGCCGGGACAAGAGTTTAACTCATTGTGCTACCGGGGCTCCATATCTTAGGGTAGTTTTCCCTAACAGCTACAACATCAAGCCCTAGAACTGAGTTGAAGCCTGGACAGCACTTTATGACCATTGGAAAGCCCGGCTATGACCTGGTTCTAGGATCTGCAGTATCTGCGGCTCCACAGCCATGTAGAATCCACCCCCTCCCAACTTCCCCATCCTAATGGGCATGTGCTAATCACAATAGGTTTTGCCAAGCTACATGGTTTACACCGACACACATGCTTATGTGCATTATAGGCTCTATTTCAGGGTATCCCCCAATTTTGCTTATCCTAGGTCCCATCTACAGTGACTATATTTTCCCCTCCCCTCTTATAAGGAAAGCATTATGTAGTTCTAAACTATGCTTTACTTTGGTCCCATCTACACTACATTAATCACTTAATGTAGTTAGAAATAGCTTCAAATGGCTTTCTGATAACAAACTCCCACAAAAGCGTGGAAAAGAAAAGCCTTAATGTGCATCACTGCTTTGTAGTTTGTGTCACCACCATTCGAGCCTCAAACTGGTGTTAGGATTTCCTATGTAATCATCCACACAGCAAAACCACTTTTTTTCATTACTGGGTTGAAACTGCATTCAGCATAGACAAGGCCCTAATTTAAAGCTTTAATTCACTTTGTTGTTTGCGCTTATGCCGTGTGTCACACTCTTGTTGACTTGCCTTCTATCCATGTTAAATAGTCAAGGCAACCATGTCCTTAGACATTAGCAACAGGGAGGGCGAGAGTGTGGCGTGGTGAGGGTCAGTGGTTGGTGTGTTGGGCTTGAAAGGGTGGAAAGGAAATTCCAACCACGCACTTCATGCATCAGTTTCTTTTCAGGAAGAAAAGAGTTGAAATAGTGGGGAATCCCTCTTGGCAGAGGCAGCACAGGGGGAGGATTCAGTCCAATGTATACTGATTTAAAAACAGAGTGAGGCTGAAAGTGAGGGAATTGGCAGACAAGACGTTGATCTGGGACATCGTTTGTATTCTGGAGCCACTCTCAGATGTGGGGCAGGAAGTCACTTCACCCATCTTTCTTCTGGATCTGTGCCTGCAAAAGACGATTCCTTCTAGGTTTCTGCACATTCTTCAAGATAGTTGTTTTACAGTTACTAGGTTTTATTCCATCCCAATTATTTTTTCTGTAAAACAGCAGTAGATACATGAGACATTTTAAAAATGCAACTGGAATGCGCAAAGCTATTTTCTATTATATGTTGGAATTATACCTTAACCCTGTAAAAGGTTGCATCTACAGTATAGAATTAATGCAGTTTAACACACCTATGTGCCTTAAAATGTCATAAACCTGGGGGGGGGGGGGGAAATTAGCCAAAAGTTGCTGAAAATGAAACAAGAAGTGTGTCAAGCATGTTGAAAGATAACGTGGATGGAGGCGTCACCATTTGAGGACCACATGAGTGTACTTCTCCATTCTTAAAAATGTGGAGTCAAGATATCTTTAGAAATTCAAGAGAAGGCTTTAACAATAATACTTTTCTGCAAAAGTGGCATAATCGTTTCATGTTATGGAACAGTCGAAATTTATCAGAAGTATTCAACAATTAACATTGACTTCAGCAGACCAAATCTTGAAAGTAAAATGTATTACCCCACTCTGGGTGGGGATGTATATTAATTTTAGATTGCAGTATAAGGTTATCTACTTACTGTCCAGCCTTATGATTCAAAAGAATATTTGTTCGGAGTTCAATGGGATTGTTCCTATTATAGGTGCAATATGTTTATAATGAAATGAAATGTCTATTTCTCTATCATGTTATTTTGAAACTGTTTATTTTTTGTTATTTCATATATTTATTTTAATGGTATTTTTGCTTCTTTGTATTTTATTTTGCTGTACTGTAATTTTGGGCTTAAGTCCCCTTTGGGGAGATGGTGGTGGGGTACAAATAAAGTTGTTGTTGTTATTATTATTATTATTATTATTATTATTGATTTGTTTTCATTTGTTGTCTTGCAGTGGAGTCAGGGTTAAGAGAGTCAAGGCATTAGGATATTTCAATGAGAAGTGACAATTACATCTTCTGCCATTCCTCTTCAAATGTTAGTATTCTTCTTGAACTTAATTGCAGCCCACACAGTAACAAATTGAAAAATTGAATTTTCTCATCATAGAATCACAGAGTTAGAAGAGACCTTGTGGGCCATCCAGTCCAACCCCCTGCCTAAAAGAAGGAAAATCATATTCATAGCACAATATAATTTTCTGAACTCCTCTTTTTGACTTGATGACACATAACTAAATAACACTTATTGTAATCTAATTATGATGGGGTGCCTGTCTTGAATGAACAATTGGCCCTGTTACAGGTTCCTTAAAATATACCATTACATGACTGATGGTTTAATTTGGCAAAGCTGGTATGTTTTGTGTGCCGCTGTCAACACCAGTAGGGGTCACCAAAACTCCAAGTCAAAAGCATTCACTGGTTGCTCCATTCCATTCCTCTGAAACTGGTGGAAGGATTTAAAAATATATTCCAGCATCAGGAACTGCCAGACAAAAATACTTTGGTTTCATTGAATGCATTCTCTTTAAAAGAGGAAACACACTCTTCTGTGTAAATGCAGAACTGAATGCAAAATAATATAAACAAGCTTTCATTTGTGCTCTTTCTGTATGTTCTTCCCTTTTAAAGCCACAGGTTGATATAAACTTGATCCTGAAAGAATGTTGCTCATATGAGTGACAACAGAAAATGCTGCTTTGGGGGCATCCCTTCCCAAAATAGCAACAAACAAAAACCTTACCCCAGAATGACCCAAAATGTGAGCAGAAGTGATGCAGTTTTACTTCTAATCAGCCGAAATGGGAACCATCTGAGCTTTGGAGGAGCCAGAAACCAAATGGTGCAGCCCCAGAGGTGTTGTGGCCTGCCCATCTGCGAAGCGGCTGAGGTTACTCTAGTAAGGTGCTGTTTGAATGGCTTATAACCTGGGCTTCAATTTTAATAGTCTGGATGAATTATTGTTAATATTGCAAAGATCAGCCAGTATTCAACTGTTAATAAGAAAAGTATTGGGGAACATTTTGCCTGAAGAGTCTGACTATTTTTGAGCTGTAGTGCTGATCTGTTCAAGAGGTGATACAGCTAGAAACATGTTTAAAAGAAAAGCCACAAGAAAGAAAAGATGATTTTTGGTGCCAGATTATATGACGGAGAAATACAGAATCTTCAAGGTGTGTTGGATAAACACAAGTCTTGATGATATAGCAGACATCAAGAAAGAAATTAGATTAAATGGGACAGACTAAACAGACTTGCAGTTGGCAGTCCATAATGAGAAAGTATGGCATCATAATTTATATTGTAAAGCTTTGTGTTTTGCAACCACACCAATGATCCTGCAGCAACAAAGCCAAAGATATTACACAAGTTCAGAATCCCTGACTCTGAGGTTGTGGAATTCCTAAAAACCTTTTTGTGTCTCTCTCTTGTTTCCAAAACAAATGACTACTGCTTACCATTCTTTGGACTTACTTTGATGTTTTCTCATGTTTTCCTATGTGTGACTGCTACCTTGACTCAATAAACTCATCTCTACAATTTTAGGAAACATTTTTATCGCATTCTCTCAGTCTCAGTAGAAGGCAAAGAACAAATATTTCCAAGAAAACCCCAGTGATGGGTTCACTTTAGTGTCACCATAAATTAGAAGCAACTTAAAGATATACAACAACAAACCATATCTCTTATCATCCTCGTTGCTCTTTTCTGAGCTTGATCCAATTATCTATATATACCTCTTAAAATGAGGAGCTCAGAACAGTAATTAGTGTATTTTTTCCCTTTCTCTTCACTTTTCCACTGCAATATGTTTTGGGATTGTAAACCTGGGAAAATAAATACTCTTTAAAATTATTTTATCCTGTAAACTTCAGTCCTCATCTACAGTTGGCCCTCCACATTGGTGAGTTTCACTTTTGTGGATTTTATTATTTACAGATTTAATTAATATGTTCTCTCTAGGAATCTCTAGGTCCTCTAGCGCAACTCTTTGGTCTGCTTTTGGCAGAGATTCCTTACTCTGGTGGAGATTCATTTATGACATTCTACACAGCCCTATATCCCAGAAAATCCCACAATATCTGCTTTGAACTGGGTCATCTGAGTCCTCATTCAGATAATGTGGGATTTTCTGCCTTGAAATTCTGGG